GAGCTCGACTCGAAATCAAAATGTTTGAGCTCGTCTCGAAAAATTTTAAGTGTAAAGGTAAAATTATCGTTAAGCACCTACACTAAAATATATAACACGAGGTATTTTAGTAATTTAACGTGTATCTCAAGCCGCTAGACAAGACAAAATATGAGCTCGAGCTTGACTCGAGTTCAGTCAAACTCGAGCTCGAGTCGAGCTTTGACTCGAGCGCTCGCGAGCAGCTCGATTCATTTGAAGCCCTAATACAAACCAATAGCCATGGTGGATTCATTTTAAATAACTAATTTATATAATTTATAGTATAAAATAATAGTTTCACTTAAGTTAAAACACATTAAATTCATATTGTTTTTAATGTATGATGCGTATGTCAATTTATTAAAAAATACCAACCTAGTGAGTGGATTCGTCCCTGTCCAAGTTGAAGGAAAAATGTACAACGACTGAATTTGAAATCAAATTATGGTTATACTGTCATCCGTGCCAAGTTTTTTCTTTCATAAAATTATCGGCCAATTTACTTATATGGTTTTATTACTATAAATTAAATTGTGGCAATTAATTGACTGGAAAATGACAGTGCCAACACATCTCTAATTGGCATAAAATACGGTAATACTAACAACGATGAACAATAAGTGAAATAAGAACTGAAATAGCTTCATCTTAGCTCTCCTTAACACGAAAAGTTTTCCAAATAATGTTACACAAGGAAGACCGAGTTGTTTACAGGCTTAATATCATGCAAACAGATGAGTCTTCTTGAACGACCTAAAAAAAATAGCAACTGGACGAGCTCATGACTTTATCAGCATTCTTCCTCAGTTCCATGAACGGCCACTACTGCTGCCATAACCTCGTCCACGATCTCTACCACCAAAGGCTGTATTAATCACGAGATAGGAAACATACAGTTAGGGCCAATAGTATTACTCAAAGTTAACGCGCGAACAAAAGTTGTGTGGCCCCCATATTTTCATTAATTAATATTTGAGCTGGAGAAAGCTCGCACGGGATTTGGCAAAGGATCTAGCATATTAAGCTACGTTTGGTAAACCCAGCTGATAAGCTAGTTTACATAGCTGATAGCTTGATTTATGGCTGAAAAACTAACTTATATCATAAAAATGTGTTGGAAAATTGGCTGATAAACTAGTTGAAATAAAAAGTTCAATGGTCTTATTTGAAAAGCTACCAAGAAGCTTTTAAAAGCTTATCCTTATTTGAATACAAGAAGCTTATAATCTAATCAAATAAGCTATAAACTAGTTTACATGCTTACAAAGCACAACCTTAATGTGCAAATTGTCCTCAAAAAGGGATGTCTGCCATTCCAATTATATTGCAAGGACATCAAACACTAGATCATCTATTGTTTCCGGAGTAGCAATATCCCTTCTTTGGAGCACAATTTGTACATAACGAACAATGTCAAGGAGGCTTTCATAATTTATATTGAACGGATGAGTTATTTATGAATTAAGCAAAAGACTAGGTAGTTTTTGTAATTGAACCTAAGAAACCACGCATCTTTGTTGTCGCATTTGAAGTTTGATAACCTCTGAATAACAATTTCGAGACTGTAAAGCATAGATTCTTATCGAACAATCAAAACACATAAGGCTCAAAACCTGGTGGAGGAGGTGCCCCACGCCCCATAGCAGATAGCTCGGGGCTGACCTTTTGTCCAGCCTCTTGTAGGATACTAATGAGGTCCTTTGCAAATCTAGCATTAGCGGCAGTGAAGAAAGTGTATGCAGTGCCTTTGGCGCCAGCTCTTCCTGTTCGACCGATACGGTGAACATAATCCTCCAGAGATCCCGGAAAGTCATAGTTGACGACATACTTCACATCTTTCACGTCTGCAAAAAATAAAAAAAATAATAATAAAAAAAAGAGTTGACAAGTTTGGGAATGCTCTTTGCAATCTCGCTTATCTACGTATAATTCTTGTCGTAGTATAATTTGCGGTTGAGATCACTGAACACTAATTTCAAACAGTTCCTTCTAAAGACCAATCACACAGCAGTTTCTATAAATTCTGTTTTATGGTACTCAAATGCGTACTGATGGAATGTAGCATTATGATTTCAACCTAACAGACCATCATGTAGCTAAAGTCCTTTAACACCTCACATGGAAAAAAAATGATGAAATGTTACCCGGGAAAGAGAAAAATACAAAAATGGTGGATTTTGGTAGTATTAACTCAGAAAAAGTGATTTTATTAGTATTCTCTTCTTAGAGAGTAATGAATGCGGTGTCTACAATAGTAATGTTCTTCACATGCTAGACCAAATATGCAGCTAACCATATGAGTGGTCAAACATTCTTTTGCTTCCTAAACATACCTAGACCACGAGCTGCAACATCTGTAGCTGTCATAATGGGACTTTTGCCTGCCCTGAATTCAGATAGGACCCAATCTCTTTCTGCTTGACTCTTGTCACCATGAATAGATAATGCAGGCCAACCATCCATACGAAGCTGCCTAGTTATCTGATCACACCCCTTCTTTGTGTCCATAAATATCAAAATCCGGCTACCATCCATAATATCCTCCAGCAGTTTCACTAATCTGAACAAGTCATCGAAAAAAAGTTAAAACCGACATAAAAAGCTACATCAAATTTGTGAGTACAGGGATTGAGAAAGGAAGTTATCCATGCCTGTCATATTTTTGGTTCTCAGTAACAATTTGGACATGCTGAGAAATAGAGTGGTTGGCTTTCAAATCTTCCGATCCAATAATGACCTGTGCCAGACCCAATATATAAGAGAAATAAAACAAAATTGAACCAAAGTACGGCTGCCAGCTATGTACTCAGAATACAAGAATCTCCAAATAGAAGATAATGAAATCAAGCTTTATCCTAATCAATCCTTCTTCACAATTCTTGTCTCTTTCCAGGTATCACGGCTTGTATTATCACAGGCTTCAACAGTTCCTCCAATCAGTATGTAATTGTGCTCATTAGCATAAGCACAGTGAGGGCCCAAGGAAGTTACTCCTTTTCCACTTTCAAGTATAAAACTAATATACCCATACACGAAAACCTTTAAATATCATTATAATTTATAAATCCAAAACAGTATGTAATTGTGATTGAATAATAAGCAGCAATTCATATATTTATAACATAGAAAAAGGCATCAAAAGATACAAAACTTACTTTGTAGGGGTTAAACAGGGACCGTCGAGCAAGTTGTTCAACTTCCTTCGGCCATGTGGCACTCCAATACAAAGTTTGACGATCTGGACGAATCTGAAAACACGGATTCAAAAATATGTAGATGTTCAAACATTTCACAGAAGATGAAAAATCAGATGCATAAACCATGTGCATCACAATGTTTCGTAGACGACGGACTCGTCCTACCCATACCCAAAAATTGATGTCTTCACCAAAATTCATTAACAAGTCTGATTAGATTTTTCTTGCGCTTGAACATACCTGATCAACAATCTTCCGGATTTGAGGCTCAAAACCCATGTCTAGCATCCGATCTGCTTCATCTAAGACCAGATATGTTACCCTTCGCAAGTTTGTATGATGGGATTCCAACATATCGATTAGCCTACCAGGTGTAGCAATAACGATTTCAACACCTATCCAAGTGTATGATGATAATCAGCGACACTGTTCCATTTCTTGCTACTAATAACATGAGTAGAAGAGAAAATAGCAGAAGGAAATACCCGATCCATGACATCACGAAACAGAAGTAAAGTCACGTTGAGCGTATCACCACCTACCTTTCTGGAGATCACGAACTTGAGGCCCCTTAGGAACCCCACCATATATGCATGTATTCTTAATCTTTGATGATGCACCAAATTTAGTTGCTTCTTGTTGTATCTGAACAGCAAGTTCACGGGTCGGTGCTAATACTAAAACTATTGGGCCATCTCCCGGAGCTAACAAAGGAAAATCAAAAGTTCACATGAAGTTTCTGTCAACTAATTGTTTATGTCAAATGAAAGCTAAAAGATACAAAGGTCCATAATGATACCGACATACACTTATATCTACCACTTTCAGAAATTAGATGCAAATCAATCTAAGGAGAAATTAGATGCAAATCCATCTAAATAACACATAGAAGATCCTGAAATACCTAAAAAGGGTTGGGCATTAACGTGAACAATAGCGGGTAAGAGGTAAGCAAGCGTCTTTCCAGACCCTGTTTCTGCAATACCAATAAGATCTCGCCCCTTCAAAGCCATAGGCCAACCTTGAGCTTGAATAGGTGTAGGTTCAGTAAAACCAGCCTTTACAATTTCTTGCATAACGTAATCTGTAGCAATAATAAAATAAATAGTTCAATAGCCTATTTCACTCAGATAAACAATCTGAAGTAAAAAATGCAACGTTATTGCAATGAAAGAATAAATACAAACATTCGGGTCTACATAGAAAAGCATCTCCCATCCCCTCCAAAAAGAAAATAAGCCACAGAAAACAATATATGAGTAGATTTTTCAGTAAGCTAAGTAACTAACTATTCCAGTAATAAGAAGTCATCTCAAGTTACAATTTGAACCCAAACATTTGTGTTGGAGCCATTGCAACCACTCATAAAATAGCAGCAGCAAACCATATTGGCATAAACCAACCAGATTCATCTGTCTGTTTCACATCATACACTTCATCATCCTAATTCACTGATTTCCAAAAAATCAACAAAAACATCTCCTGCAGAGGATATCTACAAAATATATATCATGGCACGAGCAAACACAAACAGCAACATCTCCTGGAAAACGTACATAGGAAATCTCACAAACAGACTCTTATTAACAGCTCAGTCAACGGCATCATCACAACAAGCAGATATCATGGCACGAGCAAATGCACAGAAATGCAAACTTCCCTTTGTTACCCACTAAGACATCAAATTTCCTGATACCTGGAAAACCAACATCACTGAAACTCTTTACTGGCTTTGGCACATCCTTCCCTTCCACAGTTATCTCCCGCTGCCGTCTGTAATCCTCTACCTCACCTTCCGACATTGCAGCTACAGATGGCGACTCAACATAAAAATTCTTCTCAAACGGCGTCAGCCCATCCAAATCCGAATTCCTTGATAGAGACTGAGGCCCACTATCGTACTCTTTCTTGTCCGACGAGGAAGACCGGTGATTACCCTCATATCCGCTTTTGTATCCAAACCCCGAATCTCTAAAATCACAAAACATATACACACGCACGCAAAGATAAAATCGCCTATATTTATAATCAATTCATCGGAAAACCATCCTATTATAGAAAGGACGACGATGGAAATCGATAAGCATGACGAATTGGAAAAAATTAGGGTTAGGGCTTTTACCCGCGGCGGTCGCGATAGGATCCAGGATCGGCTGAGCGGCTGTCGTAGCGACTCATGCTGCAGTTGTAGGGCTTAGTCGTCCAGGAAAGGTTGAGAGAATCGAAGGTTAGGGTTTTAGCTAAAACGGAAGCTTTGTGTAACAGCTGATTTTCGTGTTCTTTCTGTGGTCTGTACTTTTGTTAATTCATCAAATAAAAAAATTATATTATAATTTCATTTTTTGTTTTTTTTTTTTTCAACTTGTGGTATCCTACATTCATATGTTGCTTCTACCCCTATTCCAGGCCACATTAGACCCCGACCCCACAGAAGGGGCACATCCCGGTCCGTGTCCCTTAACAGACCATTGAGCTCCGCCTTAAAAGGAGGGACTAATCCACCAAGAAGTGCAGAGAGCCCCAACCCCATATTCTACAATAGTTGGGTTCGATCCCATAACCTCAGATATAACGTGAGACTCCTTTGTAGAAAAGTAAATAAATTAATTAATTAAAATAAAAAAATTATTATAATTTTCAATTAATTATCATTATTATATAAAATTTACGTGTATTTGAAATTGCTAATTATTATAGTGCCTTTTTTTTTCAAAACGACAGACTAATTAATAAATACTATAAATACATAATAGAAAATAACTAAAAATAACCGAATCAATCAGTTAAAATCAGTTAAATCTAGGGGAGGTTTACCTAGCAGTAGTCAAGAACCGAATAAAAAAAAATGGAGTAGAGTAATGATAACGAGGGTAGGAGAGTTCATTGGGTTGAGTGGGGAAAATTAGCTAGATCTAAAATGGAGGGCGGGCTGGGTTTCAGGGACTTAGGTGCCCTGAATGAGGCTCTAATGATTAAGCAGATTTGGAGGGTGCTAACCAAGCCAAACTGCTTGATGAGTGGAGTAATGAGGGGCAGATATTTGTGTAATCAAAAATTTTTTGAGGTTAAAAAGAGAAATAATGATTCATGGCTTTGGAAGTCTTGGCTAGGGGTTAGAGAATCCTTGAAATTAGGGCTGAGAGACCAGGTGGGTGATGGATGTTCAATTGACTTGTGGAAATCACCATGGATTCCAGATTCACCCAAGTTCAAACCTGTGTGCCAATTTCCAGAAGATAAAGAGAGACTTACTACAGTGCATGATTTGATGGAGCCTGGGGGAAAGACATGGGACAAGGAACTTATTCTGCAAACATTTAGTCTTACTGATGCAGCCAACATTCTGAAGATACCCATTAGCCAATGTGGAATCAAAGACAAGTTAATATGGCATTCAAGCAAAAAAGGAAAATTCACGGTCAAGGAAGCGTATCACACCATCCAAAAGAATAATGAGACTGTGAAGATGCAAGCAGAATCAAGTGTTAGAAGGAAAAAAGAAGCAGATATGTGGCCAAGAACCTGGAAACTGCCTATCAAACACAAAGTGAAGACTTTTTGTGGAGATGCTGGAATAATTGTTTGGATACAAATACTAATATGGCTAGAAGTCTGAAATGATTTGCTGTTGGTGTGGAGTAGAGAATGAAGACCTGGAACATATCTTATTTATGTGTTTGAGGGCCCACATGACTTGGAAGATAGCTGGGATTTGGTGGGACAAATTACAAGGAAATCAGTACTCTTTTCAAGAATGGTGGGAGAAGGTGTGTAAGGTGAGGGGCAAGGACAACTAGGATGGAGTGGTTGGAGTTTGAGGAAAGCCAAACACTAGCTGAAACTGAGCAACATGAGACAAACAAGGAAGATGGGAATATGGGATGCAGCCTCTAAGGGTCGAGCAAGGAGTAAGGAGACAATATAGTATGTCCAGTGCTAATGCTTCATCTGTCTTAGAGGATGGGATCAAAAGGCAGGCTTTTGTTGACAAATCTGAAGTGGCAAGATGGACTGTGACTAGGGGTGAGAATCATCACTCAGTAGAAGAAGAACTCTTGCAAATCAGAGAATGTCTTACATGGGGAGTTACACAGAACTGGCAGGAGGTGAAAATCAAGGTGCAGAACGAAGGAGTAGCCAAGATGCTCAATCAGCTAGTGGTATTTTCTTCTATCTTTGTTGTAATATTGGAGGATATATATGTTTTACTTAAGAAATTTCAAGTATGGTTGTTTGTGTAATGTGTATGGACTGTGAGGTTTTGGTTTTATATTTTCTGTGGGCCATGGTTGGTCTTTTAAGGGAGACTGATGTATTTCTTCCCCCTTGTCTGTTTTTTCTGTCTAGTTATGCTAGGTAGAAAATTGGCATGCAGCCAGTTGGGTGCTTGACTATGTACATTTTGTGAGTTCTTTTTATGAAATTTAATATTTGGCAAAAAAAAAGTCAAGAACCGAACAAAAAAAAAAAAACAAACTTATTTAATTTTCTTGAAAAAAAACAAACTTATTTTCTTCCTTACAAGAGCTCAGAGAAGGTTATTGTTGGGAAAATCATGTCGATGTCATCTAAGTTTTGGACTCAGCAGGTCTGTTTGTTATCAATTCAATTAAGTTAATTATATTTCAAGATCAGTTTTTTCTTTCAATTTGTCCTGTTTATATTAATTGAGTAAATTGGATTCTTTACCTCACATCTCAATATCATTCCGTCCGTGCTTTTGATTTCTCTTTGGGTTAATATAATTGTTCTTAGTTTTTACTCATGGTATCTGAATCTCTAAAAATACATGCTTGTAGTCTTGTCGTCCAGTTAAATTTAGTAGTAAACTGATCCCCCTGATACATCCCATAAAAATCCAAAAATTGAATTTCCATCAATTTTTCTAATACTTTCCAGGATGATGAGAGTGAGACTGAAGAGGAAGCAAGCGAATATGACGAGCAAGAAGAAAGTGACCCTGCTGACCAGCAGACTTCCGCTAAGCCCGTGAGTAAATACATAATCTCCCAAGATAGCGACAGTGATGACTCAGATGGGCAGCGCCGAGTTGTCCGACGTGTCAAGGACAAGCGCTTCGATGAGATGGCGGCCACTGTCGACCAGATGCGCAATGCTATGAAGATCAACGATGAGATGGCGGCCACTGTTTAAGAACATGACCTTAATATATTAGAAACATAATTCTTTTATAACCTGTTCTTTTGATCCTTTTCTTTTATGTTCTTTTGACGCTGTTAATGTATAATTTTTTCTTAGCATAAGTAGCATTAAAAACAAAAAGTAATTACAAAATTGACAACTAGAAAACGTTACATTTTAAATCTACGTCAATTTTTTATTTATTTACTTATTTTGTTATTTTTTTATTTTTATTTTTTTGTACAATCTACATCAAATTTTCGTGAAACAAAACTATGTGCATAATAAATCGAGAAAATTGCTCAGAACACTATACATTAGACTTTTTATTACATTAATATCAATCTATAAATAACAGCAATATTAAACAAATTATACTTTTTATTTGCAGATATGCCACAAAAGTAATTATATTAGATTTTGTGAACAAATCACAAAATCATTACCAAGATTTTCGGAAAGAGAAAAAGTTTAAAGAAACGGACACCGATAAAAAAGGTAATGGAGCTTTAAACTAAATTCCCTCTCTCACTAATAAACCGTCGTCTGCTTCAAAATTTACCAGTAACCACAAAACCCTATCTCATCTCAAGCTCAACAACAATGGCAAAGACTAAATTTGAAAAAAGCATGTGAAGCAAATTTACCTGGGAGAATTATTTATTTCATAACAAAAGCCTGTGAAGCAAATTATTTCATCAAGTATCGCAGATTTCCAAGCAACTAGTACATTGATGTGATGCATTCATATATACCACCAACAAACTCACAATAAAAAAACCGAATGAAGAGCCCTCGGGGGTCATGCCGTGGTGGCTAAGACGGTCGCTGGATTGGTCGGACGTGGGCCGAAGGAGAGCTCGTGACTGAAAAAATGAATTGATATCTGAAATTCGAACTTGTGGCCTAATGTATTTTTCTGTATATCTTCTGTATATATTCTGTATATATTGGCAAGAACTGATTTATCTTTTATATATCTATTGTGTACTTTATTTATGTCGTCAGTATATTATGAGTATATCTTCCATATATAACCTGATTGTGTATTTTGTATGTATTAAACCAGAAAATATACTATAAATATACAGAAAAAAACACGAGATGTAAATAACAAAAAAGTAAACAAAAAGAATTTCGAAAATAAAAATTTCTAGGTTTATTCCGTATATTTTCTGGACTTAAATATATATGTTCCGTATATATTCTGTATAGACATAACACCATAAAAACAACCGAATTAAGGTACTACATTTTTTATTACGTCCAAATATAAATAAAGCAGTTAGTGGTGACCGCGCGTCGCGACGCGGCAAATTTAAATTTATAATAGTTTTCCTCAGCTAACCTCTACTAACTAGTAGTAGCGGCGAGTAAGGGTCGATCCCACGAGGAGCAGGAACTAAATTGTGATAATTTCGTATTAATTGAAATAAACTACAAAAGCAGTAAAGATGGGGGGATTGATTTTAATAAAAATAAAAATAACAAAATAAAATAAAATAAAAATTAAATAAAATAAAAGAAGTCCACTTTTCGGTTCAGTTATCACCCAATCTAAATCTACCGTTAATCAATTTCAACGCCTTCTTTAAATTGCTAATAAATTACCGACCCTAGCTAACAACAAGCTTTGTTAACCGAATTTTCCCTTACCGATTATTTAATCGAAATAGGCTCTTCGACTAAACCTAACTAGTGGACAACCTAGAATAAGCTCTCTAGATTTAATACACTAGCAGCATTAATCACTAGAAAAATAGATCAGTCTAAGCAATGGACGCGTAAGCTCGGACCATTTAACTTATGTTCACGCTACCCTAAGGATGCACGACCCCTAGTTTACTACTAACGAAACAAGACAATAACAATTACGGATTAAAGTCTTGAATCTAGCAATTAAATTATGAACATTCAACGTAGTTGGCCAGACTAAATCAAACATCATAATTCATAAACATTAAACATAGATAACGTGAATCAACTCATCAACAAAAACAAATACGACGTCTCAATTGACGAACGAAAGAAATAGA